TCTGGATGGCAAATAATGATATGGTTGGCTGTGTGCATGCTTGTCAGAGGAAAAGGAGGTCCTCTTGGCTAGTGGTCTGCTGGTGTAATGAGCCTGGGCACAATGTATGCATGTTCTCTCTTTCTGACATTTCTACATTCTGACAACACTATGAGGAGGTCCCAACACCTCCTCATAGTGTTGTCAGAATGACCTGGGTAGCAGGCTATTTAGTGAGATGACCATCTGGCTTCTCTTAATCTGATGATCCTTCCCCTCTCAAGTTTGATTAGTTGTTCATATGGACTTTGATTGCAACAGTTCGGTTAAAACATATCAGACTAAGCAAAACTAAGAGATTTTAATCAAATGATACAATCAAATTCTCATTTGGCTACAATAGAGGCTAATTAATCAGTAAGATATCAAATAATTTCATTAAGCTACCATCTCATGTTAACTTTAATAATCAAAAATAAATAAATTTAATTTATAATAGACCAATCCCTCTTTTTATGCAATTTTGAAATAATGCTGTTGATAAAATAAAACTAATCCTCCTTTTAAGCAATCAATATTTTTACATGTATGTATAGTACATCAGAAAATACTGTATGTTGATTTTATATTTCCTATGCTACCTTGTGTTTACTATATTTACATACAAATAATGTTAATAATAAATGATATTAGAATAAAAAAAGCTCCTGTTTCTTTTTTAAATTGCTTATTTTTTTGTTCCATTGAAGTTGTGGATCCTAACAAGCGTTTTTCTACAGGACACATGTACTGTACTTTTTTACAATGTTCTTTGGAACATATCCACCATGCAAAAAGCGGGATAGATGTATTCTAAAAGAAAAGATTGGTCAGAAGTGAAATTCAAACCCACAAGTCCTGCTTTTTGTGCAGCATTACCAGTTACATTACCTAGACTTTCATACAATCTTTACTTTTAAACCAATTAATTTAATTCAGATATAATCACACTAGTCACTCATCACATCTAAATTAAATTAATTGGTCTAACCTAGCCACAAATTGTTAGTTGAGTTCAGATTTGTAATTTTTTATGAAAATATAAAATAAATAGTCATATGCTAACATATATTGCTAATTAAACATAAATTATATTTAGAAAACAGTTTTGAATGTTTGAATAGTGTAACTGATAACATATCAATTTGAATGGAGTTGAATTTGAGGTATCAACTCCATTCTGAACCAAACTTTCTTTCTCATGTTCTTAATAACAATAAAATCTGTGTAAATGGGAATTGCATGGTACCAAATTATTTTTCCATTTTGGCAGGTTTTAGTATTTTTATCTTTAAACTACACCAGATAAATGGCATACAGTTCACACAGTTACATTCATTTTTCATAGTAAAATCATTTACATGCCTAAAAACATTTTATTAGATTTAATGCAAATTAATCCAAAATAACTAAATACAGAGTGATTATAACTAAATACAGAAGTATTTGGTTGCAAGAATTGACAACTACAGTATTTGATTACAAAAAGTTCTCATTACTTCAAAGAACTTGTGCTAGGTATTCAAATACAGTGGTACCTCAGGATACGAAATTAATCCGTTCCGAAACTGAGATCGTATCATGAAAATGTCGTAAGATGGATCATATTTTCCCATACGATTACATGTAAAACCAAAAAATTCGTTCCAATGCGAAAAACATACTCAAATTAAAGCCAAGTAATACATTAAAAAAAATAACTGTAGTAAGAAAAACAAATGAAAAATGCGAACTAATGTAACGTCGTATGGTGAGTTTTTGTTCGTATCATGGAGCAAAAATATGTTCGAATTTCATGTCGTATCCTGAAAATTTCGTATGCTGGGGCGTTCGTAACCTGAGGTACCACTGTACTTCTTAGATGCAATTCTTATGAACTCATACCACAGCAGATAAGCAAATCTGAGTATCAAAAACTAGTGTCTTGCTCTGCCATAAAAAATTCTAATTGCTTGACAGTAATACAGAGACTGATTCATTCTATGATCCTGAGGAATGTTAATACTCTATTTAATCATTTACTTCAATATATGTAATTATCAACATGTTAATTGTTTTCAAATACTTCATATTAGTTAGTTATTAACTACTTCACAATGTTTTCACAAATTGCATTCATTGCTGGTTCTTACAAACTCATTCTTGGAAACTGATTTAATTCTAAAAAGTATTCAATTCTGCTCCTGCTCAGTTTCAACATATGCTAATATTAACAAACACCTGTGTCTATATGTCCCCTTGTCATGTGACCATTACTCTGATTAGGTTCAAAATCATTTTTGGAGCACAGTTTGTCATCTTCAGCAATGACTAATATACTTAGAAGCAATTTTATTTCTTTGTCTACAATCTTGGAATCTTTATCTATATTAAATTACAACCTTTGTATCAAAAAACCTCTTTCTGTTTCTGCATTGGACAGGTTTTTGGCTTGTCAGAGGACAAGAGGACTCTTGGCTAGTGGTCTGCTGGTGTCCTGAGCCTGGGCACCATGTATGCAAGTTCTCTCTGACATTTCTACATTCTAAGAGAAGGTCCCAACACCTCATAGTGTTGTCAGAATGGCCTAGGTAGCAGGCTATTCAGTTTTTCTGTTTTCTCTTATAATCAAAGAGGTATGCAAAGTTGTACTACCAAACAATTAGCATAAAAAACAGAAAAGTAAAATTTAACAGTTTCATTTATTATTTTATATTTTTCAGGAATATGTTAGTCTGAGACAATTCATTAATTTGGACTGAACATAAAAGAACTGTTAACCTGTCATGTTTTCATTCAAATAATAAAATAACATCAGAAAATACATGTCTTCTAAATCATCACATTAGACATTTCTGTGTTATGAAAATTACAGATATAATGCATTTTAAAGTTATTCCATCAACTCTATTTTAATAAATTACTAGTGATCCACAAAGAAACCTACTTTATTGAAATTGAAAAACAACATATAACATCAAGTAATATCTCAAACTACATAAATTAAATTGCACGAAACATAAACCTTAAATCCTGACAGAAGTATTTTACAACCTTATTCAAAAATGGCCATAAATATTACTGAGGACTACATTTTAAGACACTGTGTAGTTCAATTCATGCATTTTTATTTATATGATATAGTTTCTACAATGTTATTTTTCCACTTTCTTATATTTTCACACGTATAATGAATTATATGTATTAGTGTTTCATATATTTTTATTGTGTGGTTATATTTACTTCACCTTTTCTTCAACTTTTAACTCCTTTATACTTTAAAATATGTTCTATTTTATGATTGTTTATAACATTCAATTTTGAATTTGGATAATACATGTAAAAGCATTCAAAAGCTCTTAAAATTTCAAACAATCTAGCCTGATGATGGTCTTTGAGTAAAGTTGAAAATGTTAGCAATTAAAAATGTGCTGAAATTTATAGTTTTGTTTTGTCTGATATAACATCTTCCTAGTATTTTTAAACTGATTAAGTTCACCTTTAATAATTTAAAGATGAACTTAATAAGTTTAAAAATACTTACTATTAAACAAGTTCTTAGAACAAAATTTAAAATACAGCATAACATTCAAAATGCTAAAAGACTGAAGGGCAGACAATTTCACAAGATCTACTGAAACAATTTCCTCACTTTTTAAACTTTATTTGGAGAATTATCATTCATAAAAAATAATCTAGTTAGAATGTTAATTTTAACTTCTAATTAAACTTTTGTTTATAATTAATTACAACTGATAATTAATTAAAGAACATGAACCATTATTCATGGCATGACTCTCATTTGTATCTAAAAGATGCATTCACTACTACTCATTTTACATAAAAGATTGTATTGTATCCCTCTAATATTTAATATTAAAGTTAGAGAGCTTCTGAAAAGAAATTTGTAATTATCTAACTTGAATTATTTGAATTTTGAACTTTAGTTGTAGAGATAAGATTAAGATCTTAATTTTTCTCCAAAACATTTGTGAATTATTTGAATGTCAAGCCATTTTGTCCTTATATTAACTTGAATGATGTCAAAATAAAGTTAGATTTAATCCTATATTGGATAATTTAATAAACTGAATGAATAATAACAATAAAGCAGTTAACTAAGTTCATTTTTATCATCAGTTTATTAAATTAACTTAGTTAATTTCATTAAATTATCCAATAGAGGATTAACTAATATAAATCCAACTGTATTTTGATAGTAATATATGAGGCACATCATTCCAAAGTAAGTCTTATCCACTATTGAATACTGAAAATTAAGAAGAAAAAAAAAAAAAAAGACTTTTAAAGCTTTAAACTTGACAATCCTAACATTAGTTTATAATATAAATTAATAAGTAGAATGCTATAAGTCTGTTTTTGAAATGATAAATACATTTTATTATGACAGTTCTTTACACTAGTAATCCAGATTGCACAGATGATCCAAAAAATTTAAAAAGTGGATAAGATGCCATTTGGAATGGGGCACACCTGTATAATATATGTATACAGTCAACCCCCTTATAACACTGTTGATAATTCTGTTTTATGTGAATTCCATGTTGTACGAGTCACTTAGATTTTACAAATACATGAGCCGTTAACAGCCTGGCACATGTATTTGTAAAATCTAAGTGACTGGTACAACACGGAATTCATATAAAACAGAATAATCAACAGTGTTATAGGGGGTCGACTGTATATAAGTAAGGTATAAAGAAACATAATGTATTATTGTAAAATTATGAAGTAATATAATGTAAAATTACTATTATTGTACTGTTCACAGCTTTACATTATTTGTATTATTGTATTTGTTATTGTAAATATATCTATAAAATATTCATTCCTATTTGAAAAAATATATAGAGTTACTAATACACTCACAAGTGAGTGTATTAGTAACTCTATATTAAAAAGATAATTGATAACTATAAGATTACGACTTAAGATTAATTGATATCTTTATTTTTTTTTTATATAGGATTGCATCCACTTACCACCCAGTCATCCTTCCAAGTATTATCTTGAGCTATATAGCCACAGCAAGTTGTAGTATGAAAGCCAAATTGATTAATAAATCGCACTTCTTCTTCTTCTTCTTCATTACCTTTATGAATACTTTTACTTTGTAGAGCTTCTTTATCTTTTAATGTTTTGTTATGTTTGTGAAGTCTGAAATATAATTTTCAAAATTCATCATCAACTTCAAATTATTCTTACAGAATGAGTAAGACTGCTGTTTTTGGAGTAATCAAAAAAGTATGCGCTCTTGAATCTTAGTGCTTTCAAGTTTTATAAGTCATCTTCAGAAATAAAAAAATTAAATTTTAAAAAAGTAAAGATGTACTGTACAGTGAATTTCAAAATATATTCAAAAAGAAAAACACACCTTTAAGAATCCAGCAAATAAATTTACTAATAAAAACGTTTTTGATCGGTTTAACTGATCCTCTTCAGTTACGATGAAATAGAATGTGAAAATAATACAATAAACAATAAAACAATAAACGATAATTCCAAAATAAATACATAAATACATAACTGAAATCATAGTTGTGAATAAATAACTATGGAAATAAAATAAACAACAAAAAGTAAAAATAGACAAAGAAATGTCCCTTAATAAAATTAATTTTCATAAAAAAGCTGCATGGTGGTCTTTTTATGAAAATTTTTTATCCAGTTGATAGAGAATATATTGATATATATTCAAAAGAATAAAATTTAAAAACATTGCTTTAAATCTTTAGTGTATAGAATTTATTACCATACAATACTATTGTCAAGATTTTCAACTCATAATTCTGATTTAGAGCTATATCCATTATGTATGTTGACTCCAAACATATAGTATGGCTACTGGTAAACTGGAACTGAAATGTAAACTAAAATGTATGCAGTATCCTAATGACAAAATTTTATAATAAGGCATACCACTTTCATTACAACCTCCATGTTTATCAGCATACATAACAGAGCATACCTCTGTCATTCCTAATCACTTTTCTGAGGCACAACTGTTGCAGATGCGGGGGTAGCAAATGACATCCTACAGGTATAATATATGTGATAAATAAACATTGGAAAGGCTCCATTGAGGTGGTACTGAGTCATTCCCATGCTGTCACGAAGCTGGCAAACTCTATGACAGCATTGGACGACATCACTCCCCTGCAATTCATTACAACCATAATATGAGGATCATTCTAAAAGAAAAGAACATTTTGATCTGACAAGCTGTGCAGTTCTCCCACCACACTCCACTGCTGTGTCATGAATCTTCCCATGTTTTCGCACCAGTCTGATGCTAACAGCAAGCCACAACAATCATTTACTATTTACAGTGTGACTTTGAAATGTGTGACAAAATTAAAGATCCTGCCAAGTGCGAGGTTTGTAGTGTAATACACTTTTTGAATGCGAAAAAAGTCCACTCTATCAAAATTTACAGACAGATAACCAAGATTTATGGTAATGTGACGAATGAAGCTTCAGTTCGAAACAAACAGTAGGGATTGTTGTCCAGAGGCATTGTGCTTCTTCAGGATAATGCATGTCTGCATGCTGCTGCATTGACGAAGAACTTGCTTCAGCAGTTTAAGTGGGAAGTTTTTGAACATCCTTCTTATAGCCTGGACTAGGTTCCAAATGATTATATCTTTTCCTAAAATTGAAGGATTTTTTAGCCAGGAATCACTATGGAAGTGACAACAAACTGAAAGAGGTCACTAATGACTGGTTCAAGAACATGGCAGTAATTGAGTGTGCAGAAGGCATAGAAAAGCTGATGAAATGCTAAGACAAATGTTTAAAATTGTATGGCGACTATGTAGAAATATAGCTAAGGTATCATATGTGTTGTAAAATAAGTTTTGTTTCATTATCTTAAATAAAAATATCTAGAGAAACAAACATTCTTTACTTTTAGAATGACCCTCATACTTTTAAATATACAACATATATAGCTCATAAAAAAGAGATATGAAAATATAAACCCAATTTTTAGATTAATGCCAAATGATTGTTGGATTACATCGGGCTATTAATACATATATTAATGCTACTAATTACTAATTAAATGTCGTGTAATTTGGCCTAGAGCTAAGCATTAGGTACCATCTCTTGATAAATTTAATAATTATATTTAATATTTAATAATTATTTGCAAATACAGGTAACCTCTGTATAACACGGAAGTTACATTCCAAAAAAATTGCCGTGTTATATGAAACAAAGAACTAGTGCAAAAAGGGGGGTTAGGTTCCAAAAATTAAAAAAACGCGCTGTTAAATCCTTATTTAAATCGGATTTTAGTTTTTCAAAACCGCAATGCAGTGTAATAATCAACACTTGGCATAACTCATTCATTTATTTCAGTTTTCATGTGAGAATAAAAAATATTATATAGGAGAAACTAAGAGGAAGATGAAGATTAGACTAAAAGAACACATGGCAGATTTAAAACATCACAGAATCAACTCAGCCTTTCTAGAACATTGTATGTTAAATAACTGTAATATTGACCAAAATAATGTAAAGATCCTACATAAAGAAAAAGAAACTTATAGCAGAAAATTTAAAGAGAGTATAGAAATTTTAAAAAATAAACATTGTACAGTATAAATAAAAACTTAAGTTTAAAGATCAACGCGAAATAGCTAAAAATACTGTAAGAGATTTTTGAAAAAGAAAAATTTTCGAGAAAAAGGAGGTTTTTGAAAAATAATAATAAAATTTTTGAGGCTTTTTTGAAGTGTTCTTTAGAGTAAATCTGAAAAATAGTTAAAGGTCTTACTTGAAATAAATTTTAAATAAGAACGCATGGTTATGCAAATCATCATACAAAGAAAACACCATTAGATGCTAAGAGCTGAAAGAATAAAAATTAAAAAAGTGAAGTTTAGCCACTTAGGTAAGAATTATTAACAACAAATAAGGATAGAAAGATTGATAAAAAGTAAGTTTAATAATATAAAATGTATATGAATTAATGTAAATATTAAAGAAGAACTGTGCTGCATGCCCATTGGAAGTTCTCCTCAATATTTCAGGAAACCTTCTGTGAATAATTATGTAAGGATAAATTCAATGTACAGTTAATATTTAAGTTAATGTTTAAGTTTAATTAAAAACTGGGTTCTTTTGAAGATTTTTAGAAGAAAAAATTTTTGGAAGGAAGCATTATTATGCAAATCACCATAAAAGAATAACACCATTAAACGCTGTGAAGTTTAGCTGTGTTGTTTAGGTAAGAACTATTAATAACATTATATAAAGATAAAAGAAGAACTATGCTACATGTCCATTATGATCTTTTCTTGATATTTCAAGGAATCTTCTGTGAATAAGTATGTAAGAAAAAAACCAGTATATAGTCTGACTTCTAAATGTTAAGTGCAATAACTATATTACTTTTTATAGCCTTCGAAGTCTAGTAAAGTATAGTGTATGATTCCCGCTTGTAGAAATATGTCGAAATACGTCAAAGGATGGAATTTTTTATTTTAAAAGGGTTTTAAAAGTTGACTGAAGAGGGGCAAAACAAAGCCTGAAACGTGTGTAAGAATGCGTCTCAACAAAAACTGAAATAAATGAATGAGTTATGCCTAGTATTGATTATTACGCTGCATTGCAGTTTTGTAAAACTAATATAAGGATACAACATGGTTTCAAAATATGAAAGTAAATCGGATTTATTATTCATTTTTTTCATAGGTAAAATACTTATTTATTATTTAAGTAAATATTTTACCAGAGGATTATTCATCCTATATGATAATCTCAGCATGAGCATCATCAAAAACTGGTAACAGTTTTTGGGTGCGTTCGTTAANTTTTTCATAGGTAAAATACTTATTTATTATTTAAGTAAATATTTTACCAGAGGATTATTCATCCTATATGATAATCTCAGCATGAGCATCATCAAAAACTGGTAACAGTTTTTGGGTGCGTTCGTTAATAGCGGTCGCTCTGCAACGGGAGTGCGCTGCTGTTTGTAGGCATTTAGAAACAACGGTGAAAGAAAGATGGCTGGTGCCCGCACTATCGATAGTATCGTGATGGAGGAATCTATAATTCTAAAATGAGCTTTTAGAGGCAAAAGAAGGGTCCCAATTGTAAAATTTAACCATTAAATGGATTATTGTTGAAAGAGCATTCAAAGTAGCCACAAAAACAATTAGAATGCTCGTGTAGAGTTACGCGGAAATATAAAAGAACGCACCCTTTATTACATTTCATGCTGTACGAGGGTTTTACCCAATTTCTGAACTGTATTAGATTGAACCCGTGCTATAAAACCACCGTGCTATATGGGGGATGTTCCAAATTCTCAAACCGTGTTAGAGTGAATCCGTGCTATAGAAGTGCAATGTTATACGGGAGTTACCTGTACTAGAGTTACAATAAATGGTTCACAGCAAATGTTAGGAGTGCTGTTCTCCTTGTTTACTACTCTTTCAGTAAAAGTTTGTATTTGTACTATTTGCCATATATATTGACCTCTAGTTTTGGACAGATTTAATTTTAGTTTTAAAAAGTTGACTTATACCTGATGAGGGGCATTCAAAAAGTTTCCAGAAAGTTGTTATTATTCATAATTTTCTAGGACTCTGATGGCATGTTGCTCATAGATTTTCTTGAAGATCAAAGAACAATAATCATAAGCTATTTATTACCAGCATGAAATAGTTTTAAGTAAACTGCATGCAACTGTAAAAGAAAAACAACCTAGAAAAATTCATCAGTGTGTCTTGTTCTGTCACGATAATGCATCAGCTCATTCTGCAAGATTACCAGGACAGTATTGCATGAATACCAATGGGAGATTTTACCACATCCTCCCTATAGTCCAGATTTAGACATATCAGACTTTTTTATTCTCAAAAAGATATTAAATGCATTTGCTAGTAGTTGCCAGATCAAGTGAAACATTTTATAGTACAGTGGATAGAATCAAAGTGCATCCATCACTTTCTACTGGAAGGGCTTAGAAGGGTAGTGATACCACATGGAAATGGAACATATGTTGAAAAATGATGCACTAAATTCAATTTGCTGACTTTTTATTGCCCCTTATATGGTTTATCAACCTCTGAAGATAGACTGTAAAACTTATTGAAAACACTACGATTAAATGGGGTATGTTTTTTTAGAATTCTATTAATAATAAAGCATAAACTTTGTTCATTTTAAAATATAATTTTTGTTTTAATTAAGTTTGTAACAATTTAATTCCCAGAATGGCTGTGTAGAGTCACCCGTGACATAATTATATCAAAATGACATGTGCGTTCATGTTTAAACACATTTGAACTAATTCATGAGTAAATTTCAAGCTGATAGAGCTAGTTGTTAATAAACTATTAGAAAGGTAATAGTTATCTGCATGTACTCTTTGGCATAAAAAGGGTGACTGAAATTTAAAGTTTGATGTTGTGACTGACCTTTCTTCAAATGAACACCTCTTTCAGAGAGTAATTACAGGAGATGAAACTTGGTGCTTCCAGTACAATGCAGAAACAAAATGTCAAAGCATACAATGGAAATCTCTGAGTTCACCATGCCCTAAAAAGGCATACATGCCATGCTTACTGTTTAAGACCATACTGATGTGTTTATTTGATCACAAGGAAATTTAGTCCTCCAAGAATTTATTGAACAGGGACAAACAGTCAATCAACAATGCTATTTAGAAGTACTGCAGAGATTGTGAGATTCCATTTGAAGGAAAAGAACTGAACTGTGGCCTGACAAATGGATCATTCATCATGACAATGTGCCAAATCACAATGCACTCATTGTGAGACATTTTCTGGCTGAAAAATGATTCACTCAATTAGAATTTGCCTATTCACCTGACTTAGCTCCCTGTGATTTCTGGCTATTTCCAAAATTAGAAGCTAACCTGAAGAGATGAAGATTTTCTATTATAACTGATATCCAACAGAATGTGGATATCAGTTATAATAGCTGTACAACAGTATTCCAGAAAATGAGTTTCAGGCCTGCTTCCAGAAATGGGATTGCCATTTAAGTCAGTGTATAGATGCAGGAGGAGAGTGATATTAGCCACTAGTGTATAGTTTTGCATGTATATTTTTTAAAGGTGCATTACACCTTGTGTACTGTAATAGAAAATGAACATTAATGAACTGCATACATGTTAAAATTATATTTATATAACCTAAGATATATTTCATAATACTATAATTGTTTTAATCTGCAATAAGGAAAAATAAAATACATACTTGCCTAATTGTTCTCCTAATTGTGCAGAATACTTCGACAATGATTTCATATTTACATATTCCATAACTAGCACAGCGCCTCCTTTAGGATTATCTACAACCTATATTTTAGATTATTATTTGTATATATTATATGATATATTTATTTACATTTCAGCTAATATTAAAAATATTTAAAATTCACCACAATTGGATCAGGAACTTTCACAGTTCTAGTTGCCAAAATAGCTTTAAGACTGGCTAACTCTCCATCAAACATCAACCTAGCCTGAAAGTTTTGTTAATGAATTTTAATAACTTTTTGTTTGGTTATAGAATGTATACTAATTTAAAATGTAATATTTATTAATGGTTTTTAGTTACACAAAATATTCTTAAGTAATTAAAAAAATTCAAACTAAAACAACTTAACACATTAGAAATATAATGAGAGCTATTTAGTTCCATTGCATTTGTAAGATGTTACACGACGAGAACTCTTTGGAGTATTTATAATATGCTCCATATTGCAAATAATTAAAGAAAATTGATCAAAAGTCTTTGTTTTATTGTAATGAAAAATGCTTTCAAGACTTTTGCCCAATAGTCAGTTACAATATTATTTATAACCAAATGAGGCAAATTCTCGAAAGCAGTTCTCAATTACAATAAAGGACTTTAATTATTTATTACAGGAATATTTTAAAGGAGGTTTATATATAAACATGAGTAAAACAAAATATTTATGCATAAGAGGTGCTAAAACAGACATGGTACTGGAAGAAGGAGAAAAGATTGAGGGATGTGAACATTACGATTATCTTGGAAAACAAATTCATCAAGATGGAAGAGATACATTAGAAATTAATACAAGATTAGCACAAGGTAAGAGAGCAGTTAAAAGATTAAATGGAATATGGTGGAGTGAAGAAATAACTAGATCAAGAAAAAAAAAAAGAATATATAATACTATTGCTAAAAGCATTCTATAATATGGGGAAGAGGCATGGAGAATGACTGGGGAAGAGAAAAGTAACAATGGTTGAAATGGATGCATTGAGAAGATCGTGCAGAATCTCGAAAAGAGAAAGAATAACTAATAAGACGATCAAAAACGTAATGGGATTGAAGGAAACGGTTTTGAAAGAAATACAGAGGAAACAACTTATTTGGTTTTGACGTGTGAAAAGAATGAGTGATGAGAGACACTCGAAAATATCAATGGAATAACTCCACAAAAAAAGAAAAAGAGAGGAAGACCCATATGAACTTCATGCAATGGAGTAAAGTTAGCATATAATGAAAATGGGATTAAAGTGGAATGGTGTGTGAATAGAGAGAGATGGAAAGGGTTCCTGGAGGTCTGAAGGCAATGTCAGACACCATAAACCAAATATAGATAGAATTATTTATTTTATTTCATTAGTCTTAGAACTGTAACCATAACAGTGGATTTTCTCAATAATTTACCAGGCCTATATTCAACAATATTTATTTATTTATATTTTAAGTAGCTTTAAGTACCACGTAAGCATCTGGCATTATGCTAGATTTGTAGACCATATTCATGTTATGAATATTAATTTACAACATGCATATCGACTAGTTTAAATGTCTAAGTTTTTTTTTTTTTTTTTTGATAAAATCATAATCACCTCAGGTTTTGAATTTCTTTTAAGAAACACTTCACCAGTATCAGTTCTGTATCCTTCTCCTTCATTGATGCATCCTCCTCCACTTTTACCTGTCCTTTCAAACACAGACGTTTTTAATATTTCCTTAACTTTAGCTTCTAAAGCCATCGCTAGCGGAGTGTGTAGAGTGTACAGGTAACTACCATGCAGTGAGCACATGCAACATAATTAATCGATTCGCAGCACTAGAAGTCTTACAAATATTATCAATTATACTCTTTGTAACATTATAAAAATATCAAGACTATTGTTTTAAAACTGTCAATAACATTATTATTTATTATTATAAATTACAGCACGCTTATTCTGTACTAAATCGTGACACGTGGCCACTCGAAAGCAACAGATGGCAGCACATTGTTACTTGTTATAGTGTTTTCGGTCACGTGGCTTTTCGTATATGTCAGGATGCCGAAAAGAAAATGCGTATGTACTTTGATAGAATGCTGCCTTTACAACATAGCGAAGAATATAGACAATTATTGGTGTTTTCGGTACTTACGAGACACCGAAAAGTACTTATACGTGATTGGTCCGTTTGAGGAATTAGGTGAGGTGTTGTTACGTATTATGATGCAATGGCTTGTGTTCTACTCTTTAAAATGTTACAATATAATCCTATTATAGGGTGTCAAAGTCTTGTCATAATAAAAATATCCATGAATCATCAATAATGCTATTTGATTCAAAGAATGGCATTTCTAGTTATGAAAATTTTTTCATAAATAATTATATAGATCTGAATTTATCTAGATGTAGATTAGATAAATGCAGATCTATCAATTACATTTATCTAGCTCTAGATTATGCTAGATAAATGCAGATCTAGCAATTGCATGTATCTAGATCAATCTATGCAATTGATCTAGCAATTGCATTTATCTAGTTATGATAAATAAATAGATAAATGCAATTGTTTATCATTTTGTAGTATGATTGCCACCTGATGAACAGTTTTCTAAAGTAAATTTTATTGAATATATTAAATTTTTGGGTATATCAACCAGATTTGTTATATTAGTTGGTGCCAAGTTTATTCATTTCTAATAAAAATGTCTGAGTAGTTATAAGGTTTAAACATTACTCTAGAAGTACAGTATATAACAAGTCCATAACTAATATTGGCTTGATTCCATGTATTAAAAAAATATTATATCATTATTATAACATTATATCAAGGCCAACCAAATTAGTTTGTTGTTAATAATAATCTATACTTTAGAATGTAAACATTTAATATAATAATTTGTTGTTATTTATTACTATAGCTGAACATCTTATCGAAGGCCTTATCAAAATATTTCATAAAAATAAGTTACTAAGACACCATCATCTAAAGATTTTATTAAATTCGTCAATACGAAAATTGAATATCAGTGGATGGAATGGAGACTTAGGTGAAATTATACCCACAGTTGCAGTAAAATGCCAGGTAAGTCAGAAGAGTTTTTCATTACTTGACCTTGGTGGTGTAACCTTCAAAAAAAACACCTGGTTTATGAATTAGAAGTATCTGAATTAAATTGGCTGTAATGTTATAATCAGTCAGTCCAAAAAACACACCATTCTTATTTAATACCAACAATAGACTTTGCAACAGATAAATGTTTCCTGTACATTTACCATGTCCTGACCTCGTTTACATGCACAGCTTAAATATAAAATTTTGCATTATTTATTACTTAAAATGTACAGATGTTTAGAACACCAAATGATTATTATTTTTAATTTATTAGAAGATATTTATAACTAAAACCTTTTAGACATAAAACTAAGACAATTTTAAAACTAAAAATACTATATGATAATTATTATTCATCTTTGATCTTTAAATTTTAACGTTATAAAAAAAATTCATTGGTAAAATTTCAGCTGTGAATGATGCAGCTGAGAAAAGTCTCAGCTTTATCAGAGCCATAAACCATCCCATAGGAGTAAAAAATCAAAGGAACTGATGGTCTACATGCGACCCTTTGCAAGTTACAGTCCCTTTAAATCAGTCTATCAACATAATATGAGGAACACAGTGTGATTCAATCGTGCTCCAGAAGTAGTTCGTACAATGACGTTTCTTGTGGTTTGTGAGCTTTTAGCCGTCTCTAGTAAAGTGAAAACAGTTGATTTTTAATATTGTTTTGAAAAATACTTCTGGATTTTTTCACTTTTAAATTTTATTTCATTTTTGAGGGTTTTCAAAATTCCAGATAGGCTGATTTCAGGGGCTACATTTCTTGAAGGATCACATGTAGACCATTGGTGCCTTTGGCTTTTTTTACTTCTTACAGGCATTGTCTACAGTTCTGCTAATGTTCCAACCACTTCATTCAGAGCTGCAATATTACAGTAGAGGTTCGATTATCCGACTCAATTCGGGACTGGGGTTGGTCGGATAATTGAAAAGTCAGATAACTGAAAAGTATGAAAAAATCCATTATTAGTGTAGTATATTATTATATCCCATGTAATTAGTATATTAGTATATCGCTATTAACCTACTTCGCGTTGAATTTTCATCGATGTTAAGCCTAACAAAAATTTTTTAAAATAATAATCGTCGCTATTGTATCGTTAAAAATTAGAAAATTAAGCCTCGTTTAAATACTGGCTCTCTTTCATGGTTGAATAAGTGTTGCCAGCTAAAACACGTAAAAATAATATTAAAGTAGCCAAGACATAGTCAAATATTGTAGCACCACATCACTAGCGGACATTTGAAATTTGCCGACTAGGACGGTCGGTTAACCAAGGTGTCGGTTAATCGAGGCTCTACTGTACTATTTCATTTTCAAAACTTGCAAAATTAAAATCCTTTTTAATTTGAGATAATTTATTGCAAAATAGTATTAGTACAGAATTATTTTTTTTTTAAATATACAGTATATTGTTTTGAAATTCATAAAACTCGGAGATCTTAATTTAATTTATTTTTTCTTCATGCAGAAGTTAACTCATCTTAACATTAGTGGTTGTTCCAATATACCACTGAAAGCCTTTCTACAACTTCCTGAATCCTTGCCTTTGGTCGTATCTTTAAATTTTGGATGTACAAAATGTTTCGATCAAGTCTTAGGAAAGATTGGAAAATTCTGTAAGCATTTAAGAGAACTTGATGTGAGTTTAACACCTGTAACTGACTTTGGAATATCAAGTTTATGTATTAATATGGATGAATTGGAAGATGGAAAATCTTCTGCTTCAAAATTAATCAAACTTGTTATTTCAGAGACGAAAGTAACAAATAAGGGAGCTAGATGTGCTTTAATTAATTTACCTAATTTAGTCAATCTCGAGTATCATAATAGTTTGGATGTTGTGACTGAGTTATATGATTGCGAATATGATAGACAATACAAATTACTTCAGTTATCCGGAGAAAATATTAAAGGAGAACGTATTCACGAACGCTATTTTGAAATTGCCCACACGTTATGCCCAAACGTGACTTACTTGAAATTAGTGGACGTAGCACTCTCAGACGACGATCTTTTGCTTTGTGCAGGATTTGAAAATCTGACCCAGTTTCAATTGCTTTGTGGACAGACATCATCTGTTACATTTTATAATGGTATAACGGCACTTTTACAAATGAGAGGTACACAGATCACAGCTTTAGAATTAGGTGACATTGATGTCATTAACATACCAGTAATTGGTCAACTGTGTCCAAATTTAGAACTGCTATCATTATATATGATAGCAAGTTACGATTATATGTTTCAACATAAATTATGTGACATAGCGGATCCATTTTCACGTCTTAAAGAATTAGATCTTATATTTTTACACGAGGTAGATATACCTGAAGTCTTTTTAAAACTTTTACTTACACAAGCAAAACATTTGAGGCTTTTTCATCTTCACAATAGTGAGAGCTTAAGCGACCAACTTTTTCTAGATGTGCTTACTGTAAATCCTCTATCCGAAATTAAAGATGTCGCTTTCGAACATTGCCCGCACATTACGGGAAACATGTTAAAAGCCCTGTTGATGATGGAAAATGAGCTGGAAACTTTTAACTGCTTATGGTGTAGTAATTTTACCTTGAGAGAATTTCAAGAATGTGAAAAATATGTTCGTGAACAAAATTTAGATGTTAATATGCAATGGTTATGAGGTAAGGATTTGTATAATGTCTGATTTTTTAAAATTTATTGAATGTATATTAATTATCATTATTTTTGCTAAATGCAGGCATAACAAATTTTTTTTAAAAAAATCATTAATAATTTAAAGCGTAACTTCTTATATTACACAAGACAGACATTTTCTTAATGAAATTTTGAAGATTGTAAAGAAAATGGAACTCAAATTTTATTCTGTAACCAATGGACAGTTAACATAGGTTGTAAATTTAAGTGGTTGATAAATTTTATAGTTTCTTTGTAATTAAACCTGATTGCTTCAGATATAAAAGAAATATTACATGGAATCGGAAATCTGCTGGATACAAATTGAAGAGCAGTTATTGTTTTTAATTAAGGTTTTTATTGATTCTCCAAATCAATATACGAGTTCACATAATTTTTTCAGAACAATATAACATTATTATTATTATTGTTGTTATTATTTATTATTATTATTCTATTTGGAGTTTTTTAAAAAATAAAGCTTGTAATAAAACTTACATATATTTTTTTAATGTTGTGTACAAATACTTTTATTTATCTAATAATATTTCTAGATTTAATTAGGTAAAACATACTTGTATGTATTTATATATATTTAACTCAAGGCTTCCTGTTATATACTAATAAAAAAATACATTCTGGCTAGCTACTTTATAAAATTAACTGTAAAAACGTGCCATTTTCTTAATCTTTCTTTACTATTTCCACTTAAATAACACAGATACTGTACTTTATTGTACTCTTTAACTGTAAAATTATATATGTATACTAATTATTTAAAATTTGATCAGCCTGTACTGACAGAATTTTTATATTAAATTGATACTCCTCAAAAATAAACAATTAAGAATTTGTACTATATACTGTACTTGTTTGCCCAAAACGGTAATTGGAAACACGCCTATGTAAGTAAATGCATAGAAGTATTGTAAATAAATTGTTTTTTTTCAAGTATAATTACAGGTATTCTGTTATTAATCCCATTTAACAATGTAAATAAGCTAGATTTTATTCCGAAATTTGAAGTTTTTGCCACAACAGCATTTTAATATACTCTTTCAAAACTTTATTTAAACAATGGTGGGTGTGTACAAGACAATTTAATACATCCTTTCATTACTTTCAGTGGAGTTTTAACAGTATGATTGAAGCAAAAGATATTATTCCTCCCCCTTATGATTGCTTAGCGTTATGTAAGTTTTAGAATTTTTTAAACTAGAATAAATTAGTTGGACCATTTTTATATATTGTATAGTTTTAACAGTTGTTTACAAGATGGAGCCACAGACGAAATAAGACCAGGCTTTAAATCAGTTTTTTTTCTTCTTTTATTTTACATAATTGTTTAATTATTATACATAACATCTTTCAAACTTATTCTCCGGAATGTAATTAATAATAAATTTTTATAAATATTCAAATTCGTCCTCCAGCACTTTCTTGTGTTTAAAATATTTTAAAAAGCCGAGAAAATGCGAAATAATTTCTTCTTTTTAAAAAAATACACGAAATAAAATCGCTCACGTATTAGGTACAATTTCCCTTAAAGATCCTAAAACGGATATACTTCAATCGATCCTAATATTGAATGCAAATTTCATCTGAAAACTCTTGGAAAATTCTTTATTAATTTTATTATTTTTTTTAAAAAAACGTTAACAAAAGTGGAAAAATTTTTGTTTTTTATTTGCGATTTATTCCTCCTCAAATTTCTTAATTATTGCGATTTATTTTGAAATAATTGCTGCTGGCATTTATATATATATATATTTATATACAATATACATGCGTAAAAAATTTTAAACGCGAACAGGCACTTTCCTGGACCTTTATAAGTTCTTCCTAAAATAGGAATACAGTTTCAAACGCCTTTATAGCGGATAAATATAGCATCTTTAAATAAATAAATTGCCGACTTGTGTGAAAGGACGGTTTATATACCCCTCCCTTCGTGTCTTACCTCTTTGTCAAGTCAGACTTAAAAAAAGAAATAATAATAAAACACAAAGAAACGTAGACTATTGCACTGTTACAATATACACGTGGATGAAAGCTTATTATATAAAATAACATTGATGACAATCTAATTGGTTATTAACGAGATCAATGTTCGGCTAATGGCGGGCCGATACTTAAATATTTAAATATTTTATATTTTTTGGTTAACTACTATCTTCTCTAATAGTGAAAAGAAATGATTCTTCTTTGGTTTCTTAAGAAGTGGGTGTGAGATCTGAAGAGAATTTTCTGAAATTTTATTTATTTATTTATTTATTTCTTCTTGTCTAGCTTGCAATTTCTTCTTTTTTATCTTCCACTATCTGTAAAATGTATGAAATTTAGTTTATTTGTATTAAAGGAAATTATCGGGCTGCAATTTTTACATTGAAAACTTATAAATTCCCACTTCGTCCGTCCCTACGTCTGTCCGTTCTTCGTTAATCTCGAGTGTTCGATCGGATATGGAGAGCTTATGGATACTACATAGGAAATTCCTGTCTAGAGCGGAAGTGGAGTGATTTTTAAATTTAAAGATGATTAAGAATTGCAGCCCGACGTTACAGTAAATAAATTTCTCGTTTGATTTTAATATATTACCTTTTTTAGGGCTTCGTAATCGCTTCTTAATATGGTAATTTCTCGTTTATATTGATTTCGCTCGCTTGTTGTTTGTCGCAATTCGTTTTGTAATTCGTCTAAAGCGTCTCTTTCTAATACACTAATTAGAATAATAAAAAAAAATAAAAATAGAGTTTAAAAACAATACATTCTTACTTAACGCTATTATTCTTAGTACTTTAAAAATAAAACATTTTTAGTCTCTCAATATTACAAGAAATTATAATGTAAATAGGACAGTGATTTATTGTTATGTTTTATTGTATTTTATTTCTAAAAAATACACAAACACTTTTAGGTACCGTTATAATTGTCCTATTGTTAGGACCGAAAGCAATTTTTCATTTTAATTTTCCCTAAATAATTCAGGATTTTCCAGCATTTTTATGGGCTTATTCTTTTAAAATATAATTTCGAATATATATAAAAATAAAGTACATTTATAGGTCATTAAATCCATTTATAGTTATTAAATTTGCAAATTTTATATCCAGGGAAGAATCATAACCAATCTATTTTTTTCATTAAGCAATTGCAATAAGGCTATTTAGAATATTTAATTTTTATNTATACAATATACATGCGTAAAAAATTTTAAACGCGAACAGGCACTTTCCTGGACCTTTATAAGTTCTTCCTAAAATAGGAATACAGTTTCAAACGCCTTTATAGCGGATAAATATAGCATCTTTAAATAAATAAATTGCCGACTTGTGTGAAAGGACGGTTTATATACCCCTCCCTTCGTGTCTTACCTCTTTGTCAAGTCAGACTTAAAAAAAGAAATAATAATAAAACACAAAGAAACGTAGACTATTGCACTGTTACAATATACACGTGGATGAAAGCTTATTATATAAAATAACATTGATGACAATCTAATTGGTTATTAACGAGATCAATGTTCGGCTAATGGCGGGCCGATACTTAAATATTTAAATATTTTATATTTTTTGGTTAACTACTATCTTCTCTAATAGTGAAAAGAAATGATTCTTCTTTGGTTTCTTAAGAAGTGGGTGTGAGATCTGAAGAGAATTTTCTGAAATTTTATTTATTTATTTATTTATTTCTTCTTGTCTAGCTTGCAATTTCTTCTTTTTTATCTTCCACTATCTGTAAAATGTATGAAATTTAGTTTATTTGTATTAAAGGAAATTATCGGGCTGCAATTTTTACATTGAAAACTTATAAATTCCCACTTCGTCCGTCCCTACGTCTGTCCGTTCTTCGTTAATCTCGAGTGTTCGATCGGATATGGAGAGCTTATGGATACTACATAGGAAATTCCTGTCTGGAGCGGAAGTGGAGTGATTTTTAAATTTAAAGATGATTAAGAATTGCAGCCCGACGTTACAGTAAATAAATTTCTCGTTTGATTTTAATATATTACCTTTTTTAGGGCTTCGTAATCGCTTCTTAATATGGTAATTTCTCGTTTATATTGATTTCGCTCGCTTGTTGTTTGTCGCAATTCGTTTTGTAATTCGTCTAAAGCGTCTCTTTCTAATACACTAATTAGAATAATAAAAAAAAATAAAAATAGAGTTTAAAAACAATACATTCTTACTTAACGCTATTATTCTTAGTACTTTAAAAATAAAACACTTTTAGTCTCTCAATATTACAAGAAATTATAATGTAAATAGGACAGTGATTTATTGTTATGTTTTATTGTATTTTATTTCTAAAAAATACACAAACACTTTTAGGTACCGTTATAATTGTCCTATTGTTAGGACCGAAAGCAATTTTTCATTTTAATTTTCCCTAAATAATTCAGGATTTTCCAGCATTTTTATGGGCTTATTCTTTTAAAATATAATTTCGAATATATATAAAAAAAAGTACATTTATAGGTCATTAAATCCATTTATAGTTATTAAATTTGCAAATTTTATATCCAGGGAAGAATCATAACCAATCTATTTTTTTCATTAAGCAATTGCAATAAGGCTATTTAGAATATTTAATTTTTATTTTTTTCAAAATCTAATTATAGTAATTTAATTCGGTTTTCGTGATACTAATCGTTATAATAATAACAATCATTATTGTGATCTTTAATGATAATTTAAAATATTCTAAAGTATTAAATAAAACTTTCGTATAATTATAGCATCGAAGAGAATTTTCCACGTCCTTAATGGATTTTGAATTAAAACTTTTTTTTTTTTTTAAATATAGGTCAGTAATTAAAAAACGTTCAACGCCCTAACTTCAATAATAACTTCAATTATTAATCACACAGGCCTATATATACATTGCTATAGAATTCAACTTACAGTTGCTGATGCAGATCTTGCATGGCTCTTGTCTCTACTTCTGTTTGTTCCAGCTGTTGTTTAAGATGTTCTTTATGTTGAGCAAACTCTAACCTAAGTCTCTCCACTTCCGCTTTAAGTTGAGCGACCTGCAAGTCTCTATCACAGACTGCCGCCTGCTGTTCCGCCCTTTCTCTTAACAGCTGATCTCGTTCCTGCTCTAAAATTCCTTTCATTTTTTCTGCCTCTTCCCATCTCTCTAGAATCTGTTCGTAAACGATAATTGAGTAATTAAATTACTTTAAAAAAAAAAAACGTTTAAATTTCTCGCATACTTACGTCATTTTTTTCTTTAATCAGTAATATATTTTCAGCCTGCAACTCGCTGATGTGGTTATTGATCTTATTGCGGCTAACGTAACTGTCAGTTAACTGTTCTAACTTCAGTTGCGTTTCTTGCAACGTTGCATTCATCTGCATCATTTGAGACTCTCGATCATCCAGTTCTCTCTGTAGCTTTTTGATTAATTCGTCTTTATCCTCTTCGCCCGACGTTTCTCCGACTTTCTCGTCCTCCTAAACGATCCAAGTACAATTTAAATTCTTCACCCATAACTGAATAAACTAAAAGGGGTTAATAAGGGTTATGTTATAAGGATTAACCCGAATTAAGAGGCTAAATGTGTGTCTCCTTTTCTTAGAATAATTAATTGCCGATGCAACTGGATGTGGAATGATGCACAGCTTGTGGTTTACTTTAAATAGATTTTGCCATTCCTTTAATGATGTCATGTTCGGTTGAAATCTTATTTACAAAAGAAACGTAAATTTTTTTTTAAAATAAATATAAGCTTTTAATTTAGGTAAAGTATTAAAAAAATTCCCTCTTTAATTAATTCGTAACTTATTCTTTTAGTGACTTTTACTGATTTTTTTAAAAAATAAATTTGTTAAATTATTAAAAAAGATGATAAAAAATTTTAATTTAAAAAATGCTTTCCATTTTTTTTTCACAGATTAGAAATTTTTTAGCGATTATAATATTTAATTAGAATGCTAAACATCATAAGTTTCCAGCATGTGTAATTAATAAAAGGAAAGTTTCGCCGTCATTTCTTATCCTGCCGACAAGATTATTACACCAGTAAACAACTTAATATGATATTTCCTTTTCTCTAACGTAAGTTCACATTAAAATTATTTTATTATATTGTTTATTAGTTAACACAGTAGCAGAAAAAAAGAAACATTTTACAAGCGTTAAACTTTACAAAAACTTACATTATTAACTTCTTTCTGCGCTTTCACCTTGTTTTCATCGTCATCGTCTGAATTATCCGAATTACTCTAAGAATAAAAACAGCAATTATAATGCTTGCAAATTATAATTTAAAACAAAATACAATCCACTAACCCTGTATCCATGCTTGATAATTGTCTCCTCTTCGATACGAAATTGTAAATCTTCTACTTTTCTGTAAAGTAAAAAGTCAAATAAAGAAGAAAATATGTCGAATATTAAAAATGAAGTCAGTACAGTACCTTCTCTCTTCTTCCAATCGAGCTGTTAATTCCTTCCTCTCCTGTTCGCTTTCGTCTAACAGTTGTCTTAGGTATGCTATGTTATATTCACTCTGCTCCATATACTGATCGTGCTCCAATTGTAATGTTTCTAAATTCTGTTCTGCCTGATGAGAAGATATCGATTACGTAAAACAAATCGAACTTATTCTTTCCAGTGCTTCCCAACCTAGATATGGTACCACCCTTTATGACGTGCCGCAGGGGTGGTAGCTGCGCTAGTTTCAAGGTCATTTATGGGTTCCTAAAGACGTATTAAGTCTGTTGTGTCTATGTATATTGCTGCTCAGGATAGAAAAGTTAAACTAATTCATTTACTTTGGGGGATAGACTGCTCGAAATATTCAATGATCCATGATTAGTGAGTGTTATTAATAAATATTGTCTTGGTTGCTGTGTAAAAGTTAAAAGTGTCTCTTAAATAAAAGAATATATCCATTTAGGGTAAGATCTCGTGATTAGTTTTAATTTAGGAGGTGATATCAGCTTCCTTTTTAGATTTACTGAAATTTCCTTCACTCGAAAAGATTTTAACAGGCATTTTATGCTCTGGAATTTCGATTGGGAACCACTGGGCTAACGTAGCCCGTTCATTCATACCTGTTTAATTTCGGAGGCAGCGCGAGCTATTTCCGCTCTCTCCAAGTCTCTCTCTCTCAACAACTGCTCCAGGTGTTCCTCCTTCTCCTTGAGAGCTTCCTATAAGTATTAATGACGTCACGCTTTTGTATGAACACGAACAAGCTTAAATAGACAGCAGCTGTCTCACATAAGAAGGAAAAAATTCGTTTACACGATCGGTAATTGAAAAAGGAGGATGTGTCTGTTAATTAAAAATACGTACGTCCCAGTTTCGACACTTTGAAGAGTGTAGCAACTTCTTGACCTCCTAACTCTGTTTCGACATCGTGTTGATATAACTTAAAATTAGAAAAGCCTTTCACGAGTTTAAAAATAGGAGATTTTTTACTTTGAAATGACTGGGACTAAAAAAATGAACTAACTGATCCGTGCGTTTATTGGAGTATTCATTTATAATGGATATAATCCGCCTTACAACTGATGAGAGCATTTAAAACATCGTTTATATCTGGATCCCTAGATTTCGATTTTTAACTGGACTGGAGCCATAAATAGCGTGACTTGACGAGTTTTAAGTTGTAAACTACACGAGGAATAAATATAAATCATTTTAAGTCAAGGAACTTTTTAATATTCTTTACTCTTATTAAAAATATTACTGTTAAATTGAGGCATTAGCATAGAGACATGGGCTTTCAGGGTATAATTTAATTGATTAATTAACACATTACTAAGCTAAAGTTGATAATTAGCATTAAAAGTTAGGATTTAGGACTGGCAATTACTTAGTGGACTGTAAATTTTATTAAGTTTTTTATTTTTATTTTTAAAATCTCTGGAAGTGTTTGTATTCTTATATATATTTAGATAGTATAAAGGAGTATTTTTGTAGTATTAATTTAGGTAACGTGCGTATAATTTGTTATGACAGCTGCTGTCTTCGAGTCTCGGATGATAAGCAATCAAAACACAATTTTTAAAAAATTATGCTTTTATTTATTTACTTCATTTAAATATAAAGGATACAAAATTTATTTAAATTTTTTTTTTTAAATCCCACCACCTTTCTATGTACATATTTTTCAAAAATTATGATGTTAACTTCATGCACATTATTTTTTTTATATAAAAAAAAATAAGAAATAAAAAAAAATAATTATAAACATATCAATAATGTTGACTATAGCACACACCAAAGCGAAACAAAACAAAAACTTTTTTCTTCCATGCTTGCTCGGAAGTCTTCAGACTTTCAAAACCTAAGTGCAGCCCAATAGGGAACAAGAACACAAAGAGGGAGAAAAACACAAAAACAAAAATCAGCAAAATTCAAAGACACATAACACACAGAAAAAAAAAATGTACGTGCAAAAGCGACAAAATTAGACTATGTTAATAAAAACAAACAAAAATTTGGGTTAATCTTTGGAAAAACGGGCCACGTGACCGCCAATATGTCAGTTTTATTTTAAGGATCGGGTGACTGTTAAGTGATTTCCGGCTTTTGTCGTCGTCGTCGTCGCGATGTCTTTTTCTTTACTGTCTGTCCTTTATTGTGTGACAGATTTTTTTTTCTTTTTCTGTTGATAAAAATTAAGCGAATCGAATCGCATGATAATTAGAATTCATTCGACGTATATACGAAAGACCGCAGTTTTTACGTCGCATTCAATTTTAAACCTCAGGCGACGACACTAACAGTTTTTTTTTTTTTCACGCGAGTCGAAATATTGCGTGGAATACACGAAAAGATTCGATAATATCAACAGAAACATGCCATCAATAGGGGTAAGCTCTTGTTCCGATCGATACGAAATCTGATAAAACGTCACCCGATCATTAGCGTCACATAACAGATGCATCATTTTCAGCCATGTGAATAGCGCATCAATCAAGAAAAATAACAATAATACATGCGTACGAAAGCGTATGACATGATTATTTATGCGAAGCTAACGTTAAAAATTGTGCTACTTACCTGCATTGCCGTAGTTGTTGCCTGAACGCTCGAGATGACGGGACTCGCAGACTTCTATAGAAATAAAAAAAAAACAATAATAATAAAATAAAATTTGTTACACGACCCTCAAGATCTAACAATAATTCGATGTGATTGAAAGAAATTGTTCTCTCTCTCTCTCTCTCCCCCGTCCTAAATACATCAATTGCTTAATTTTGTCACCACTTGTTAAGTCGAGCTGAGGAACAGGCTTTCAATCTAAAAGTGAAAGAGAACATTTAATATTAATTTTCTAATTTTAGAGAAGGGAAACGCCTTTAAAGGGTATGTCCCACCCTCTAAAAATTCTATAGAAGATATCATCTAACCTATTTTATCTACTTCCTCCAAAATATTTGAGGAACAAAAAGTTAGACCGGTTGTTTCTTACATTTCTTCATTGTGTGGGTGAAACTAGTTAAACTTGTGCTAATTTAGTAAGTGGTGACAATCTTATTTTGCTTTGTAGTAACCCCCCTTTTTCTCGAATTAGCGCAGGTACACTTACCATGGTTGTTCTGCTGGAAGTAGTGGAGGTTGTGAGGGACTCGTGACTTCTCAGGATGGGAGAGGTGGCTCGAGCGTAACTTCCACTTATTTTGGTAATTTTATGAATGGGAGCGAACAGGCCGTACTTCATACGACAGTCGAAATACCTAAATAAATAAAATATATAATTACAAAACAGGAAATTATTAATGCATTACGTAGAATGAGTAACAATTTGGCACGTGCAATGGTTTCTAACCTTTTTCCGGCAACGGATCCGTCGTTCTTTCCTACGGGTTCGTCGAGTTCCACACCAGCCCATTGCCCACTAGCGAAGGCCGTAGGTCCCAAATAACGTAGGACACCCGTCCTGATACCACTGCTGGAATTTACCAGGACCCTGTCGGCAATTCTTAGCCTCGGACTTTTCGAGGGGCTGGTCACGGTGGTAGAGGTGGTGACTACAGTTTTGGTACCTTTGGGCGAATTCATGACTTTGGTGGTTGTGGTTTTACTGGTACTTCCGTTCACCGCAGTGTGGACGTCGTACTTGGTTGGAGGTGTGATAGGGTACCGCGTCAGTCTGTGAAGGCGAGCGAACACCCCTCTTCTAGGTTCGCACTGGAAATAGCGAATTCCCGCTACGGAACCGTCGTTTTTACCGATGGGCTCGTCGAGGACCACCCCAGCCCAGTCACCCGACGCAAACTGCGTTTCGCCTAAATACTGGATGTATCCTGACTTCCTACCGTTCACCCACACTCGATCACCCACGATGTAGTCGTCGGTGTTGTCCGATAACGTTCCGTCTGCAAAATAGTAATAAAAAAAAAGATGGTGTACGGGGAGATGTAACTCTGTACCGAGATAAGCGAGTCACGTGACTCCGTTGCGACACAATCGCCATCACGTTAGTCTTTTACCTTTTTTGGGTATAACTCATTTGATTCGTGACGCGGTAACGCAGGTGATTCTTTAACGGTTTCGATTTTATGGCAGATGTTTAACGATCACGACCGGCAGTCGGGGGGGGAGGGGGAGATCAAACGTGATGCCGACTTACCTCTGAAAGAATTAAATGAAGGCATGGCGTTCTGCGTCTTGCCCGAGTCGTCGTTGATAGTCCAATCCATGGGAGAAGTGCGGTCGGTAGTACATACAGTAACGTGGTCGCGTGGGTTGTGACGAAGAATGAACAAGTAAGGGAGAAAAGGAAACCAGTTCCCACCTCCCGTACGTTCCCTCCTCCTATTCTGTGACGTTTTTTGGCATTACGTAATGCCCCCTTGTCCGATGTACCTAACATGGTTATTAATGGGGATAAAAAAGGAAGGCACGTGCCGTACTTCGTATCCCACCCCCCCGCTCGCCTCAACAAAGGGACCCGAATATAAAATTAAACTTACCAGCATTGTCGGGGGGCGAATCCGTGGACCCGTTCATGTCTTCCGCACGGGATAAAGCTTGAAAAAAAAAAAAAAAAAAAATAATAATAATAAAATAGAAATTTTACATGAACTATGTTTTAAAATATCAGCGGGGTTTATGCGTAATGCGGAAATCTGTCTACTGTAATATATTACAGCAACAGCGTGTAATGCTACTCGAGTTATAAATTCTAAAAGAGACGTGCGTATAAACAAATAAATTCGTTGGTAGGACCCTCCATCGTCTAGCAGCTGTTAGATCTGTACTCAATTAGTGGCAGGTAGAGTAAAAAAGAGGAACAATCGAATTACAATTAACTAAACAACAAAAAAAGATGTACAATTAAACCTTACAGAAGCACCCAGACACAGAGAAGGGATGTTTTTAAGTCTTGTTGGAAAAGGAAACAGGAAACAGTGTATCGTTTAGCTTATGCAATATCGTTTGAAGTACAGTACATTTGCCACTAATTTATAAAAATAAACTCCTTCGATTCTGGTCTGGTCGCACGTGATAGAATTTAATCTTTTTGTTTTTTATTTATTTTTTTGCACCCAGGGTGTAAGCATTTTTATATACAAAAGAATAAATATAGGCTACGTTTAATATTCTGTATTTAATTGTGTGTGTTTACAGGAACATCTCCCTTTTCATGATAAATTAGAACATCTTTTTCCAAGAAAAAAAAATGGCTGGAGATGTTGTGTATTCTTTTAACACGTTTAAAAATATTCGTACCCTGAGGTGTTCTTAACCGAATATTTAAATAATGTATATCCCCTAAGGGAATTTTAACCGAATGGCAAAAATATCTTACAATATTAAATTACTTTTAAGTGTTAAAAGGGGGGAGCAAAGAAGAATCTTATCAGTTTATTAAAGGGTACGACTCGGGGTATTTCTGTTTATTTCTCTTGCAACATTCTTTAGGAAACAATACCAGAAATCATTTATCTTTTAACATATACATATTTTTTAAAGTGTTTATAGTAGGCCTATATAATACACTTACTGTACTTCTGCGAGGGTACTTGAATCTTTTATTTTTTTTCATTTTCTGTAGTAGAAACCCCCCACTAAGATACCTCAGAAAGAAAAATAACGCACCCGCAAGCTGGCAGAATGCGGTAGAACTGCTCAACCAGTTCGGATTTTTTGCATAACCTTACAGGAAGACATGTACAGAGGTGTTGCTTCTTACCTGTAACAATCGCCAACTGCTACCCCATTTATGGTCATGCCTTGTCAAACCGATAGGCGGAGGCGAAATAGTAAAGCCTCCGCTCGACGCCATCAAGGTCGTAGTCGAATTTCGTCATTAAATTACTTTGATATTAATTTCGTTACCGATATGTCAATGCCCCTTTAACCCTACGGCTCGGTAGGAGGAGGATCATGTACCCCTTCCTCTTCGTTATACTTACCAACAATTTAAATCCTTTTCATGTTTGCCGACTGTCCGCCGAGGTTACTTTAGGGCGCGTTCTTATGACGCAACCAGTTACGAAATTCAAATTCTGTAAAGTACGTTGTATTTGTTTTGGATTGTCACAGAAGGCGTAGGTTGGGGGAAATTATTATATCTTTTTTTTTTGTTGTTGTTGTTATTTTGTTTGCGTCCAGTCGTTTTGGTCTCTCTCGAATTTTGCGACTGTCTAGTTTATGGTGTTTAAATTAAAAGATAGTTTGCCTTGACATCTTTTTTATCTTAACTGGATCAAAACGATATTTACCAACACCTACACGTAATAATGTCTTCGAAGAAAAATTCTTCCTAGTGTCGCCCCTAGGGTTTTCATAGTATTTCTCCCTAATGTTGCTAGTGTTTTCATAGTATTTCTTCTAGTGTTTATAGTATATCTCCTAATGTTGCCTAGTGTTTCTCCTAGTGTTGCCTGGTGTTTTCATAGTATTTCTCCTAATGTTGCCTAGTGTTTTTCATAGTATTTCTCCTAATGTTGCCTAGTGTTTCTCCTAGTGTTGCCTAGTGTTTTCATAGTATTTCTCCTAATGTTGCCTAGTGTTTTTATAGTACTTCTCCTAATGTTGCCTAGTATTTTTTCCTAGAGAGGAGGTATCTCTCCGAACATTGCTGGTTGGAATATTTAATTAAAAACCCCAATGGGGCGAAGAAATGACGTCTTACAGAATACTAAATTCTTCATTTGGAACAACGAATTTATAATTTAAACTTGCAAAACGATCCAGCATCAGGAAGAAAAAAAACAAAAACAACAAAACATCTCCTTTTTCGAACAGGAGTCTGTAATTTAATCTAACCGAACTAATCCTACGTACGTAGTAGGGAGCCTACATTTTCCCGAAAAGGAAGAATTTTATTAAAATATCTCCATTTTTTTTTTTTTTTTTTATTTAAAGTAAACACCTGTTCTATAACCAGATCCAGATCAGAACCTGTAGATATCCAATCTGGATCATCGTAAATACCAGTTTAGGTTTTCTAAAATAGTTTTCTCCTTAAACGGATTCAGCGTGAAGGATTCCCTCTCACACACTAAACGGGTTAAATAAGTGTTTAACCCGAAAGTTCCTTCACAGAACTGGTTTCTCTCCTACAAGAATAGGAGCGGTATCTGCGACGAGATCGCTGGATCCGTTTCAAAGATAACTTAATAAGTTAGAAGATCTCATCGCCAGAGACTTCCTCTGAATTTTTATAAGGATAGATCCTTAACTCTGTTTACTCAAAGGATTCTTCTTCTTCTTCTTCTTCCCCCTGGTTTTTCAATTTAAAAAACAAAAAAATCTCTCGCAACTTAAATTTTTAATTAATTTCACTTACCCGTAAACAGGAATGGCCGTAGTCACGATTGTAAATAGGACTTTTTCATAGCTGCTAGGATTTTTGTTTTTTTTTTATTTAACAAAAAAAAAAAATAGGATCCGTCGAAGGTGTAGAATTAAATTAATGGGTGGAGGGCGACCGAGTCGGAGCGAGAATTCGAATCATCTCCCCATCCACATCTGAAGCAGCAGGGGGCGCTGTCCGAATACGTCATCGACTGCAGTTATTGATTTTTCGCTTCACTGCAGCAGAAATATCGGACGCTTGACTTATCTTATACGTTAATTATGATATAGAAACTTTATATAATTATTAATAAATGCGAAAAAAAGGAGTTTGAAGGGTTGTAATAATATATATATATATAGTAGCGCCACGAGGTATGACGCGTCGACGCGGTTACTCGCCCTCCTTCTTAAATGCCCGATGTTAATTTTATTAAGCGTACGTATTTATGTATTATTAACAATGCGTAAACAGCAGATTTATACTTGTTTATGTATTCGTGTCACGTTTATTGTTTGATTTGAAAAAGTTCACGAACTCTCTCTCTCCCTCTGGTGTCGGGTTACGGAATTTAATTGTTCGCGTTTCCAAGTGGTGCCATCTGGAGGTTAATTAGAATGCGTATAAAGTGAGGGGAATTATAAAATTATACGGGGAGGAGGGTTACGTGAGATTTTGGCGATTCTTCAAGAATTTATCCTACTTCCCGAATGTATTGATTATTAATTAGGAAAATAAGCGATAAATAAACTGATACCAAGACGATTTTTCGGTGGGAAGACCGGAAGAGATTCGTAAACACTCTAGTAGTGAGACTTACACGAATGGAAAGGGAAGAATAAATTTAATGAATGATTTTATACCCGAGGCCGCCCGTTATGTCTACGCTGTAAGGGGGGGGGAAGTGGTAGAGAAAAGTACTGTACGTCAATGTACACAATGGAGTAGTCGAGGCATTGTCTGCTTACGAATTTGTCCTTACAAACCTACGTACTAGTCGTGTGAATAAACTAATGTTTGCAGAACTTTTCTTCAATGTAGGGTAGTCACGAACTATTAATTAATGGGAGTTTGGCGAAAATATATATCATGGTACACAACAGGGGGCAAAAATGACTCAAAAACTAGTAATTAAAGGGGTTAGCAAAAGTATTTCATAGTATATAACATAGAGAGGGTCGAAAATGGCTCGAAAACAATACGTAATTGACGGACGGTTCCTTCGTTATATCCGAATAACACTTTCTTGTTAGGTTAAGGATTATTTTAATTATGTTTGAATAACTAAAATTAACTAATATTCAAATTTTTATATATAAACTAACATCCATTTAAGAAAATACAGTACTGTACATATGGGTTTAGTGTATTTATGTGTTACAATGCCATCTGGTGATAAACGAGTTTCAAGTATCTAAACGATACTGACAAAAAAGAAAAAGAAAAAGAAATTCTACATTTTAACCGAGAAATATGCGATTAGATAAAAGTTAGTCTTTAAATACTTATAAAAATTTGCCGATAAGATTGTAGAATGGAGGCGGAGAAACAGCTGCAACTGCCCACGAAGAAAATTTATTACATAATAACTCATTGAAAATTCACAGGAAAGTAATAAATTGCCATTTCATGCCGGGGGAAAAAACTTTCTTTCCGAAATCTTCAATGAGAATGTCACACGCGAAGCGTGCCTAAAAATTTCATGCCTACATTTTTTTAGTTTACATTCTTTATTTATAAATTCGATTCGTCTATCTAAAACATGAAAATTTAAGTGTGACTATCATAAATATTTGCTTTCATTTATCCTTATTATGCCAAAATTTAAAAGCCACACATTTAACTAATATAATGATTAAGAATTAATTCTACGTCTACAATTAAATAAGAGTGGTGCGTGCGTAATTTCGCGGTACCTACCTGTGACCTCTCTAAAACACTCGATAGGCTTACCTAAGTGTTTCTTTATTCTCAGAAGCATGATTAATTTCCAACTAGCTGCGTGTGCCCTGCGTTACTCGGGATTTTGAGGGGTGGGGAATTGGTGAGGTCAGTGACACGTTATCCTATAAGCAAACAAAGAAATTGCCTGGGGCCCCACAAATAGGGGGCCCAAACCAATCTTTTATAAGAAAATGTATATGGAGCTCCCCAATTCAAATTTGCCTGGGCCCCATGAAGTTGTAATGCGCCACCGACTGCAATGTTATATTAATACTTGCATGTATTTAAGAGGGGGTGGGAATCTGCACGGTATTTTTTTCTAGGGTATCGAAGAATATTCGTGCCAAATTTTGGTGTTGGTAAGTCGAACGGTTCAGAACCCATTACATAATATACATGCTTATTTCGAATTTTATTGCTATACAATAATATTAAGTTATATGATTATTAACAAGTATTTATAAGCTTGTAATAAACGAAGAAGGGTGGAGATGAATAACGCGCCGACACACAGACTCCGTCCTTCGACTGTTTCTTAATTGTTCGATCTTTATTTAAAGCGTACAGCCTATTTGTACATCATTAACATCGATAAACAGCGGGTTTACACGTGTTTATTTATATTCATGTCACGTCTATTGTGTACATATACTTTTATTTATCTTGAGAACTTAATGAAACACACAATTTAATGGCGTAACAAAGCATACATTATGCAATGAAATAGTAGCGACATGAGTTAATGACAAGCTGAACATGAAAGGTCTTAACGAGAAGACTAAAAAATAAAGTTGTTCGGTTGGAGGATCTTAAAATATTTAAAGATAATTCAATTTGTGTGTGAGTTATATGTAAATATTGGACTGTTCTACAGCTTTAGAAGGAAGAAAGGAATCTTCTCATTAAAGACTCTGTAATCTTCCCAATATTCTTCCTATTAATTAACTAGTTTGAATTATATATTAACAGTAATAGACTTTATAAAATCATTATCGTGATTTATAGATAGATTAGTTAAAGTATTGCATTTATTGATCCGTTCCTATGTAAATTCATTTAATAAAATGACATTTTAATTCAGAATTATATCGGCTATAATTTAACAATTTATACCAATGAATCCTTAGCATTAATTGAGGATTACTTACAGTAATGAACTTTGTATAACGTTGTATATCCTGCTCCTCCGAGTACTTAATGCTCTTTTTTACTTACGTTTTGAATTTTTGTTGCGTTTTTTTTTTATGTTTTTATGTAATAATGACCAATGATTAAGAGAATTAATAAATGAAGAAAGTGTTTAACATTTAAAATTTTTAAAGCGTTAATATAACGTTTCAGTTTAATTATTTATAAATACTCGGGTCAATAAATGTACAGTACTGTACATTTTACAGGAAAACCTGTGTAAACCGGAATCTCACTGTCGTCCGATTTGGGAGGTTTCCGCTTTGAACAGTTTCTTTTTTAACGTAGAAAATCGCTCCATTATGAAGAATTCCTTCCGTTTAGGTAAGTTTCTGTTTTATTCATGTTCCGTTTTGGACAGGTTTACTGTGCAACCAGCCCTTATTCATCTAATGTCCATCCCTGGGTGAGTAAGATTTTTCCCTTCATTTCTATTAAGATTAACTTCCAAATTTCAAAATTCCAACCGAAACAGGATTATGAAATAATCTTTATAATTATAAATAAACACAAAAGGATCTTGACGGTAATTTATATTAATAACACGATAATGATAGTTGTCAGTGTCTTTATTCACTTGTCATCTTGATCCTTGTAGTCACGATAATTATATTGTGTCTTTTGTATCCTGTAAGTTCAAAAGTAGAAGACAATCAGAACTTCTCAGAGGTCGAGAGAGGCCCGGGCCATTTACCTTTTTGAGGCCTCAGTATATTAAGAAAGTCAAGTAAGAAAAAACCTCCAATAACGGCCACCTTCCAACCAACAGCTACCTGTAAACGGCGGCCATAATTTTTTTCGGGACCGTTTCTTTTTGAAATTATACAGTATAATCTGCTAACAACGACCATTCTTATGTTTCCTTCAGTGGCCATTGTTCAGAGGTTTTCCGTATGTGCGTGTGAATTATCCGAAGCGATTGAAATTTATCAATTGTTTAGGAAATAATAGAAATTTAGAAACAATATCCCGACAGAGAATCGAATAAAACAAGAAAATTCTATTGGAAATCAATAAAACTAATTAATGTGGGTCAAGAATTCAGACCGAAGTTTCTATGAAAATCTAACAGTCTTAAATATGTTCGATTTTAGTTCCTGCCACAAACGTATTCTCTAATGCTAATGGGCAATAAGAGCTATAAATGTTTAGCTTAATGAGCCATGTTTAATTTCCTCAATATCATGTAAAATGATACAAAAAAGACCCAAAATTAACTTAGCAGTACTTTAAATAGTATTAAACATTAACCAAACATATATGTATATATACAGTAAAACCTGCCCAAAATGAAACCCGAGTAAAACGGAAACTTGCCTAAACAGAAGAAATTCTTCGGAATGGAGAGATTTTCCACGTTAAAAAGAATTAAAAAAAAACCTGTTAAAAACGGAAGCCTGTCAAACCGGAAAAATATTCGGGTACCGCGCGATTCCGGTTTACACAGGTTTTACAGTATTCACACAAGGTTATATGGTGGCCAAAATTCAGTTAACAGTTCTTTCTTTTATGTCTCGGCTACACTTATTACGTACTTATTAAATTACTAAATTAATCAAATACAGTAAAACCTGCGTAAACTGGAATCGCACGGTCGTCCGGTTTGACAGGTTTCCGTTTGAACAGGCTTTTTTTTTTATTATTATTTTTAATATAGAAAATCGCCGTCCATAGAATTTTTCCCGTTTAGGCAGGTTTCCGTTTTATTCGGGTCCTGTCTTGGACAGGTTTCGCCATATTTTATTTTGTTAGAAAATCAATTTTATTCGAAAGAAAACCATCCCTTTTTCGTTGGCTTAACCTGACCTTGACAGTGACAAGTTAGCCATTTTCTTTTGATATTTTAAACTAAGCTATATAAGCCTAAGGCCTGACCCATTTTAAATTTATTACTGCAGTCGAACTTCGATTTAGCGCCACCCTCTTATCTGCCACTGGTATTGACACTAAATCGATCTTGGCGCTCAACTGAAGTACAATACTTGAAACAGTATAATAATGAGGATATTTGTTGGCGTTTTGTGGGGGTGGCACTAATTATGTAATCATTATATCGAGGTCTAACTGTATTTGATGGTAGGATTGACCTGTTATACGTTATAGTTTAGGGCTATAACAAATGGCGAGTCAAAGCACTGATTTAATTATATAAGAGATTTTATCTGTAAATTCCGTTTTGAACAGGTTTCATCGTCTACTTTTTAATATTTATCTAAATC